TCCGACCCCTTGAAACATAACAGTTCTCTTCACCTACACTGAAAAACCTAAGGAATGAGCATCAAAAATCCAGCCGGATGGTTGTTCTCAACACGTGCCAACACACGAAAAACTATTTCCTTTGTTTCTGCCTTTCACTGAGAGTAAGTACTCAAGAAATTTGGAATCCTGATTTAAAATTTTAAAAAAAAGGTAATTCCTGAAGGTAAAAATACTTTAAAAAAAACTTTCTTAAATTTAAGACGTAAAGGAAAAAAACCCTGCTTACGCTTAAGTTTTCATATTTGTTCCTTTCACGTAACTTTCGAAGCAAAATTTTTCTCTTTTTCCTAATTGTACGCCTGTCCTAAAAATTTAAATATGCATATTAAGATAAGAATAACTGAAAAAAAAATCCTCAAAATAAAGTACAAAAGAAAAAAAACCCTGCTTACGCTTAAATTTTCACATTTTTTCCTTTCATGCAACTTTCGAGGCAAAATATTTCTCTTTTCCCTAATTATACGTCTGCCCTAAAAAAGGAATTACAAATTTAAATATGCATATTTTCTCATCGCTGCAGGCTTTTGGGCATATCCACAAATCCCTGACCACTATTACCGCGAATAGCTAATCCAAGCCTGCCTAGATCACCGTCTCTTACTTTACAACAGCTACCAGAAATAGGCCCTGTTCTGTACAACTCTCAGCCACATTTTCAAAAAAAACTGACCGAAGACCGCGAGTTTTGGAACGACCAATTTTGGCTGGGCTTCTATGGCCCTTTCTTTCCATCTCTATTTCTATTTTAGTTGATCTTCGACCCAGGTCATCCAGAAAAAAAGCATTTTTGAGGTTTTCTTGCGTTTCTCTGGATATCTCACCCCGAACAATCTAGCCCTTCCGCTTCCCGCCTCTCTTTTCAAAAAGTCGTCCAAACATTCCATTTGCCAATATCAATAAAATAACTTAAACAATCGTATAATTTAACCTCCTCCTCCTCCGCTCCCCTTGCCCCCACCCCTCCCCCGCCGCCCAAAAAAAAGAAAAAAAACTTACATGCATTTCCACTTCTGATGATGATACTTCATCGCTCGACGTTGTACTTGATTCCACTCGTTCCCTTCGTTTCTTTTTTGCCACTTCTTTTTTCTTCCTCTCCTGCTCCTTTTCCTTTTCCTCCTCTTTTTTCTTCCTTTCCTTTTCCTTCTCCTTCTCCTTCCTTTTCCGTTCCTGCTCCTTTCCTTTTTCATCCACTTTTTTCTTTTTTTCTTGCTCTTTTTCCTTACCATCAATCTTTTTCTTCCGCTCTTGCTCCTTTTCCTTCTCCTCAGCCTCCTTCTTTTTCTCCTGCTTCTTTTCCCTGTCCTCAACCTTCTTCCTCCTTTCCTGCTCTTTTTCCTTCTCATCGACTTTTTTCTTCCGCTCCTCTTCCTTTTCAACTTTTTTCCGTTTTTCTTGCTCCCTTTCCTTTTCCTCCTTTTTCTTTCTTTCTTGCCCCTTTTCTTCGTCTTTTTTCTTCCTCTCCTGCTCTTTCATCACTGTTTCCTCCTGTGGTTTCTTTGTTTCTTGGCCGTTTTCTTTCTCTTCTTCCTTTTTCTTCCTCTCATGCTCCTTGTCCCTCTGCCGTCGCTTCTCTTCCTCTTGCTGCAATCGGAGCATTTTAGTGTGTGCAGAACTGGACCGAAAAGTCTTAGCTTCCAATTTTCAGTTCATCCTCATTTTCCTCCTTTATCCTCTCACCCTCCTCCCCTCCCTTCCCCTCTTATCTTTAACTCACAACACCTGTATGCATAAGCCCACGAGCAAAATTTTAACACATTTCGTAAAAGTTGGACTTCTGGGAAACAAGTAAGTCACGATTTTTTTTGGATGAAACATAGCAATGCGCAGAACAAATTTTATGTTAATACTGGTTTTGGAAAATACTACAAAAAGCAAATTTTGTTACTCAAGAAAACAGAAAATTGTCACTCTATTAAGATTTCGTTTTATGGCGCTTTTTTATGATCACTTGCTAATTTTTACTGAAATTTGAAATAGAAAGGTATATTGAAATAAGGAGAATAATCGAAGAGGAAATTTCGAAATAAGAATTAAGAAATTAGTAAAATTATTATTTTAAGAATAAAATTATAAAAATCGGGTCAACTGTAACCCGGTTCCTCAACTATATGCCACCGCCAATTTTTTCAATCACCATGAAAAGCGGATCAACAGCTCAAGGCAAGACGATCTCTACGTTAATTTTG